GCCGGACTCGCACGTGCCCAGCCCCGGCTCGGTGGCAACGAGCTCCAGCCCGGCGGCGCAGCCCGTGCACTCGCCGGCCAGGCCCCCGGCGCAGGCCGCACACGACACGTCGCACGGCTGGCAGGTCCCTGTGGGGCCGTCGTTGTAGGTGCCCAGGGGGCATGCTTGGACGCAACCCTCATGCCGGTCCAGGAAGAGCCCCTGCTCACAGGCCAGGCACCGGGAGGCCGTGCACGAATCGCACCCATCCGGACAGGGCACGCAGGCGCCGGTGGCGCCGGCGGCCGGCGGGGCACCCGACCACCGGTGTCCGGCCGCGCACACCGCACACGCATCGCCGGCCCCGGCGCACAGGGCACACGTCGGCCCGCAGGCCATGCATCGCTCCGTGCCGACATACTCGCCCGGTGCGCAGGTGCTCCCACAAAGGGAGGCCACCATGGGATTGGTATCGAGGAAGACCAATCCCGGCTGGCAGTCGGTGCAGCTGGCCGCATTCTCACACGAGGCGCATGAGTCTTCACAGCGCTCGCACTGGCCTCCAGGAGCAAGGAAGCGCCGATCGGAGCACACGGTGCACTGGCTTCCCGAGACACACTGTGTGCAGCCGGTGGGACATGGCCAGCACGCGGCATTGGGTATATCGGCCCAGGTGCCTTCCGGGCAGCTCGCCAGACACCGACCATCGAGCGTGCCGAAACTCCCGACCGAGCAGAAAACACACGCGCTCGGATTGCCGGGGGCCGTGCATATCGTGCATGAGGAATGGCACGGTTGACAAGTGCCCCCAAGGGGCGCCATCCGCGGCGGGCATGCCCGGCAGTGATATTCCTCGTGCGGGTGTCCAAGCGACGCGCAATCCACGCACCCGCCGGCGCAGACACACACGTTGCCCGACTCGATGAGGCCCTCGGGACAGGCATCCACACACACGCCGGGCCGATCGAAAGGCGACAGGCGACAAGCCGTGCACGCCTCCGGGCCCGAGGCCGAGCATGCAAGGCACAGCGAATCACAGGGCTGGCACAGGGGACCCTCAGTGCCAGCGACACATGGGGCCCCATCGTCCAGCAGCAAGACGCGAATATTCGCCGAGCCATCGGCCATGAAGACCGCCCGGGAGGGCGACGGCCCCAGCTGGGCTTCCGCCACCCCGGCCGGCAGCGGGAGCACATTCACCATGGGCAGGGCGTTGATGTCCCGATCCAACATCGCGAAGGAGGCCGGCTCGAGCCAACAATGGACCCGCTCGCCGGGCCCCATCGGGCAGTAGAGACGGGCCCAGCCAACCATGCGTCGAGTGACAAGCAACATGGCAGCCGGGTATTCCGACTCCGGGGCCAGGGCCAGCGAGAAGAAGCGCCCTTGGGGATTGTCGCCGGGCTGGGAAAAGCCACTGGGCAGCTGCCCGAGGATCTCGCGCCGGTGAGGCATGCTCACAATGAGCCCGGTGTCGCGCCCGGGAGCCGGGAAGTGCCACACCTCCCAAAGCATGGGGCCGTCGCCGGATTGGGCCAGACCCGCCAGGAAAAATTCCCCCAATCCGTCCGACCGTCGAAGGCCGGTCGCCAGGAGTATGGGCTCGTAGCCCGAGGGAGGAGGATGCAAGGTGGCCCCGGGGAATCCGGCCACACGACTGTCCATCTTCCGGAGCATGGCCGCCGGCAGCACGCGCGCCTGGGTCCCGGGCTTCGGCATGGCAAAGGCCCAGTCGCCGAGGGGCGAGTCTCTCGGAAACCACCCGACCGGAAACTCGACTGGATGCCCATGCATCCCGGACAATGGCCAGAGGTCGAGGGCCGAGCCAGTCGAACTGACCGGCATGATGTGGGTGGGTTTCACATCGGACGTCATCACAATCGACACGATATCCTTCCCGAGCAGGCCCACCGAGAGGCAGCCCACTTGCCTGTCGAATTCCCAGAAGTATGCCACTTCGCAAGGATCATCCTCGGTCGGGGGCCGATGGCGGCATTCCATCCGGGCCACGCGCAGGTTGCCGGTCCGGTCGCACAAGACACTGAGAATCCGCGGCCCCGAGCCCTGGGATGCCAGGACCACCTCCACATAGGACTGCGCCGCCGGAGGGGATGTCCCGGGTCCCGCCTGGGAAAAGGGCCACCCATCCATGGTCGAGGATGTGAGGCTCCCGTCATGGGCAACCCGAATCCACAGGGGGGCACTTTGGCTGGTCGACCGGAAGGCGAGGAGATTTTGCTCCAGCAGCGAGGGGCTGCGGTTTTCCGGCAGCAAGTGCATCACACCGTTGACAGAGCAAAGCAAACTCGGGACAAAGAATTCCACCGGGGAAGCGGGGAAGTCCGACAAGACAATGGTCTGCGGCCGGATGCCCGGGGGAGGAATGGCTCGATCGGTCGGGAGGCAGCGCCAACCGCCCGAGGCCATGGAGGAATAGCCCGCCGGGCAGGAATCCAAACAGGTGCTCACCCTGGTGCTGGGGTCGAGGAAAAGCACAAAACCCTCCTCACATAGAACACAGCCTTGGTGGTCGAGACACTGGCGACAATGCGGGCCGGCACAGGGGCTGCACGAGGCTGAGCCAGCGAGCCATAGGCCGGGCAAGGGGGAGAACATGGGACAAGGGGGACAGCAGCCGGCCGAAGAGCGGGCCCGCATGGGGCGTTAGCAAGGGGAAAGAAAGGCATTCGGCCAGGAGGTGCCATGAAGCATGACCCTTCACCCGACACATCGTGGAACAGGGACAACAGCACATTGGGACGGCAGAGACAAGGTATCCCCCCCCCACAACCCCCTCCCAGCGCATGGGAACATCGTGTCACCAAGACAGCGCGCACCCGGGGCGCCATACTGGCCGATTCGACGGTGGCCCGAGAGACAAGCACCGCACAGCTGCCCGGGGAAGAGCCCATGCGAAGGAGCCCAGCCAGGGGCACATGCATAGCCCCGAGGCTCGCTCGGCCGGCCGCACAGGATACTGGAATCCTCGATACACAGGAAGTCGCCGGAGGCGACAAACGCATCGACCGCATTGCCAACACCCCAGGTCGAGAAGCCAGGCCGGATGGCCAGGCGTACCGGGCGCAAGGCCACTATTTCCGACAGGGCGAGGCCATTTGGAAGGAGAAGCCGCTGCCAGCTGGAGGGCGATCGCCGGAGGGTATCAAAGTGCAGCCACCACAGCTGCCCGGTACCGGTGTCCTGGAAGAGGATCGATTTGACGGGCTCATGCAGGGACCCCGGAGCAGGCAGGTACAAGCGAGCCGCCGAGCCAGGCATCAGCCCCGGGGGACGGGCCACATGGAACCACGTCTCACACTCGGCAAGGGGTGTGTGATTCAAGCAGACTGACACCCGGTCCTGATGCAGGAGGGCAATGTCGCCTTGGTCGGAGTTCAGGATGGTCGAGGCGGCAAGATCCACGATAGTCCCCCCCGGGGGGGTGTCGCTGCTTCCCAAAATCACCGCGCCTCCCCATGGGAGGGCCACCACACCGAAGATATCGTCAAACCAAAAGACAAACGATGGGCCAACACCGGAAACCGCATGCAGACGCTCCCTGGCGACCCCGGGCGAAAGGCCCATCGCCGGCAAGACAGCAGGTGACTGTCCATGCGAGAGGGCCAGAACCAGGAGATGGTCGCTGGACGAGTCGAACAGCAACACCTGCAGGAACTTCGAGCCCAAGGAATGCCATGCCAAGATGGACTGCGAGGGGCTCAAGCTATGGCCCTGCCAGGTGCCTTCGATCAAGGCTTGAATGGAGTTCTCCATGAAAAAGAGCAACATCGGGCCATCGCGACTGGGCGAAACCACCGGCCGGGTGGTCAGCGGATTGAAAGTGGCAACCGGCCCGAACCGCAGGGGGGTCACCAGGCCGAAACTTCCACCCAACCGATGGTCAGAATGGTCGGAGAGATCCATCTCCCGCTGGTGAACCACCATCACTGAGGCGTTCGCCGGATCCACGCGAGCAAGCGATGTTCCTTCGCTCCCATGGAACACCGGGGCATTGCCGAGGATGGTATCCGGCCGTGGGGCCCATGAGCTGGCAAGCTGATGATAATAGAGGGTGATGCTCTGCGGCAAGGTCACAATCTCCGGCTCCTGGGTCGCGTGAGGGGCAGGAGCGGCCCCAACGGCCGCAAGCCTGCCAGCACAGACGCCCAAACAGGCGACCAGCCAGAGGGCCAGGCGCGGTGCCATCGGCGAAAGGAGCGGGCCCCGGGGGCAGGCGATGGGAAGCAGCAGGCGCGAGGGGAGGGCAAGGCAAGGAGGGGGCCAGAGGGAGGCGCAATTGCGGAGGATATCGCGGCCTCGGGGACCCTGGGGGGCCTCTCTTGAATGCCTTCCCGTGGGGAGGAGGACGGCCCACCAGCGGGGGGGGGGGGGGGCTTTACCAGAACAAGATGCCGACACCATCGCCAAAGGCACTCGCGTGGTAGCCACACAGCCGCGTGGCTTTACCGCGGGGGACATCGGGCAGGGACCACAGGGGCCGGCTGTGTATGGCAAACATGAGGGAGAGGAACACCACGCGACGCCGTCGACCTTCACAGCGGGAGACATCCGCCTTTGGAGCCCCATCCCCGGAGGCCGTACACTTGAGGGGCCCTTTTTCTCACCATGAAACGTCCCTAAAGGATCCGCCATGACCCCGGGTAGTGGGAGGTTTGCCCGACGACCGATGTGTATGGTGTCCGCCTCATCTTCGGTCATTTGATCTCGAGCAGCTCACATTTAATAATCCGAAGATATACCCCCGCCGGGGGGCCATTTCAGGCCAAGGGAGACCCGGGTGAAAGTGGCCGCCTTTCTCGAATTTCGACTCTATCGATAAATGAGACATCCCCTTGTGAGCACCGGATGCCCGGGCCTTCGAAGCGGGGTGAGAGCAGATGTAATCCTCAAAAGCACGGGCCCCGTGAACCATCCGAAGGGACCGGCGCCTGCGTGTCTCCGTGCCCCGGGGCGAATGGCCTCGAAAAAGGGTACATCCATGGAGCGCGATCAAGCACGATGTATAGATCAGGTGTATGAATGTTGAACGTGACGCATTTCGCAGCGCATGTGCCCTGAAGCATATCAGAAGGTGTCTCTCTCCAGGGCTGCCAACGTTTTCGTGGTCTCCCTCTCTCTCTGCCTCTCTCTGCCTCTCTCTCTCACTCTCTCTCTCTCTCTGCCTCTCTCTCTCTCTCTCTGCCTCTCTCTCTCTCTCTCACTCTCTCTCACTCTCTCCCCCCCCCCTCTCTCTCTCTCTCCTTTGCCGCCCTCCACTGGTTCCTATTTCCCCGCCTCGCTTGCGCCATTTAATACACATGCTGTTCGCCTTGTGCTCGCACATCGTCCCACCGACTCAGGGTGGCCTGCACTTGTCCTCATGCTGTCGATTGTGTTTGCATGTTTGTGCGAGAGAAAGACACCCTCATCGCATTGTGGGGCGGATGAAGTGAGGGCCACGGATTTTCCCACTCATCGCCACCTATGAGCATGACACCCAACAAAAAGATGCACTCATTGGCATGAGGGCCCGACAAGCCTGAGCCGCGATCGGAGGCTCTTGCGCCGAAGCGGCTCGCGAGAAGGCCCCAGAGGCATCATGTCTCGGCACGTGCAGTCGGTGCCCTGTCGATGGACTGAGCATCCAGCGCGGACCCGGAGCAGGTGCCTGTCCGGCGCGCCTCCCCAGCCAAGGGCCGCGGGTCAATGACTGGAGGGAATGTAGCTGCGTGTGCGGTTCAATAGCCGAGCGGGGCGGGCTGCTGGTCAAGGATGATCGGCCTGCCGGGCGACTATCCACACTGCCACCACCTCACAGCCAAATGGGTCAACATTGCCTGTCCAGCCAGCAGGAGCTGGTTGCCACGCCTGCCTGCAGCTCGTCCCAGTCCCGCTTTCTAATCGCCGGCCGGCTGACAGCAAAAGGCACTGGATTTCGCGGCATAGCATCTTCCCCATGTTCATGTTCCATGTTGTGTGACCCATGGAGCCGGCAAGCTGGCCATCTGCTCTCGGGAACAAAGCCTGTTCCGGGAATGCCACCTCCTTGGCCTCTCCTGAAAGAGCTTGGGAAGATGAGGCATGGCCGAGGCCCGGCCAGCGCCTGCTCGAGGAAAGTGACACATTGAGTGTGCCCATGTCATCCTTTCGCCCACTAGCCGCCCGAGCAATGGCCAAGTTGACAAAGGGTCCATTTCGCCGCCCCTCCCCCCCACTGCCGAGGCCTCAAGTTCAGGGGCCCATTTGCCGGGTCACCCAGGACACCACAGTCGCAATCCATAAAAAAGCGGCCTGCAATGCGTCCCGGCATCCTGAGGGCCGTCTTCCCAGGGCCATTGTCCAGCGTGAACCACTCGTCTGATCTCCCCCCCCCCCATCTCGAGCCGCCTCTCGACGCCAGTGTGTGATCGATAACCCCCCCCC